CATATCCCTATGAAAAAAATATTACCCAACAGTAAACAAAACTACTGTTTTTTAAATTTTGCTAAAAATAAATTCCCCAAAGAGCCCCATTTGAAATTATTCAAACGAATAAATGTTATAGGTGGCATACGCGGTACGTCTGACTCGCGAATCATTTGTGTACGTGTTGACTCGCCTTCGACTACACACAGTTGAATCATTCAGAGTCATGCCGGGAGTCATGTTGGTGTAACTAACATATTTATTTTCACAAACACATTCAAACCGACTCACGAGTCAGACGCACCGTGTATGCCGCCTATAACATCAAAAGCAAATCACGAAAACTTTGTTAAGAATTACAGTGTACACTTTCTTCTTTTGTGTAGTTTTTTTTTAAGATTGGTCCAAAAAAATCATAATAAAGAAAGAACCCAAAGCAGATATTTAAAGCACAGAAAAAATATATTATAAAAAGGACTATGTTCTCTTTGACGTACGTCAAAGGTCAAGTAGAAGTGGGAACTTTTATGGCTGCCCATTGATAGCTCGGTTATATAGCTTAAGAAATAATATTTTAAAGACATTTTTATCAAAGTTGATACATATGACATTTGACCAGTTTTGTTACACAAATACTCCTACGACCACAGGCAAAAATATTGGCTACAATATGTAATTTTTTTTGCCATACATACGTTTTATCGGTCCACTTTCAAAATATTCGCATTCGCAAAAGCTCCGCATTGATTATTGCGAATGCGAAAGCGAATGCGAATGTTAAAATTAATGCGGAAGCTCCGCGAATATTCGCAACAACCCTGATATGTATGTATGTATGAACGAACTCATTGCGCAATTTCAGCTCTGTCGGTACCAAGCAATATATGTATAAATGATGCAAGCGTGCTTTGCGTAACTACATCCATTCGTACATATGTACATATGTTTGTATGGATATATTTATGATGAAGCAAACAGGCTTCGTTGATGTACTGATGGGCATATGTATGTACTCATGGACAGCAATGTTTTCATGTATGTACATATGTTTGAATGGTTGTATATATGTATATTTGTACGTATGTGCATATGTTTGTGTACATGTATATATGCACATATGTAGTACAAACGAAAACAAATCTAATAAGCTGCTCGTTGATATAAATGCGAACTGTACTCAGGGTTGCCATTTTGGTAAATTGTTACCAAAATTGGTAGAAAAAATTTAGGTTGGTAAAAAGGTAAGTTTTTTCTCATTTTGGTAGATTTTTGTTGAACTTTTCGTTCCCGATTTATTTTTCGTAGTTATGTTTACATTATAAATTTCTTTGCACACTTTTTATATACTTACATACGTATAAATGTATATCGATATAAGGCGAACATATCGTGCTCCATTCAAAAGTCATTCTACTGGAATCCCGAGGAGCTTTTGATTGCCTAAATATTTTAAATGATTATTTAAATAAAAAGAAAAAATTGACTGGTATGTAAATACGCACTATGATTGTTCGCAAAAAAATTAAATCAACGCCATTTTTTATGAATGGAAATTGTTAAATAAAAAAGGCCACAAAAGACTGGCGGCAAAAAATTAAAAAAGTATACTCAAATATTATTTGCTATAAAACTCCATACCTTAAATTGTTCTAAAAATTCAGAGTAAATAATTCTAAATTAAGACGAAAATTTTTTCAATTTTTCTAAATGTTGTATTTACTCCTTGATTTTTATGGATTTAGTTAAAGCAACAAGACATTTTTACTTGAAAAACATTGTGAATATTAAAATAAAAATCACCAATTGTTTTTTTTAATCACTGTGTTTATCGTTGTTGCCTTCAGTTTCATCACTTTCGCTCTTAGTTGAAGGAAACTCAGAATATGACATTAATATGATCTCAAATACCATATAATTAGTTGAATAAAAAGTTCATTAAAAACAATTTTAATTCTTATTGAAATAATAAAAAAAATAAATAAACTATAGTCTTAATTAAAATAACTAAAAAATATAACAAAACTATAGTTTTTATCAAATAACTATAAAAACGTTATTGGTAGATATTTTCCAGATTTGGTAAATTTTTTTCGAGTGGATGGTAAGTATTTTTTTTCGTCAGTGGCAACCCTGACTGTACTGATTGTCAAAAATTATGTGTTTGTTGTACATTTGTTCATGTTTGTCATTGTGCCTGTAATTTTCTAGAGTAGTTTTGTGCTCTCGCTATCTCCTTGTATTAACTCGTCCTTCGTTGGTATACTCTGATGAACATATGTGAGGATGATTGCAAGGCCAACTTATATAAGGTAGTGTTACAGGAGCAGTTGAAATTTTCGCCCAGGTTTCTTAAAGAAAGTCATAAACGTAGCGACCATTGGTTCAACTTGGTGTTGTTTTGCTCTAGATTGCACCGTTTGTGGGCCTGTCGAATCAATTTATGTCTTGGTTGTATGAAAGATCAAAAAATTTGGATTTTCTGGCAAGTTGTACAACTTATCGCTACATTAATGGCCATGTTGTACAAACTCATTTAATTTGCGTTTATTTTGTACACTAAATAACTGAAAATGGATAACTCAGCCGAAATAGGTACGTGCTTTCGTTGAATTTTATAAATGTAAGCCGAAACTATGAAATTGTGCTCGCAAAATTGCAATGTTTGTGGGCAAAACGTCCACCTTGATTGCGCATTGATTTGAACCAATGTTTTCGGCTTGCATTATGTCAAAAGGACGTGTTTGTTGTAATTCATTCTGTCATTTACTACTACTATGCGTAGGCCAATTCATGAAATCATTTCATGCGTTTGAGTAGAAACTGAATGAATGAACACCATTTCATGATTTCAATTAACGCGAAATAGAGTTTATGCACTTAGTTTTTACTCAGATCGATGAAATGATTTCGTGAATTGGACTACGCATACATGTGATACTTATGCTTTTAATTTATAAGGTAATTTTATGTTTTTATACTCTTGCTACCACATGAATATATGAATTCGCCTTGGAAGATAGAAAGCGAGTAAGAATAAATGCCGAACAAAGGAATTTGTCTTCTTTCAACTTAAATAAATGCATTTTGCAAACAAAAGTGCGTACGTTAGTGCCTTGGTAATGGCGAATTCGTAAGGATCTATTGATTGCATTATAAACATTTTCATTTATTTGTTAAACATACAATTACTTCCATTACAACCCGGTCCTATGCACGCTAGAACCGCGAATTCATATAAGGTGGTATTACCGGAAAATGAATAAATAAATTATATGCATATCTGAAAATTAATAAGATGAAATAAAATTATTGTGTTGATTTCTAACCAAACCTATGTATGTAACTCAATCGCCTAATGGTTTGCCGAACCGTAAACATATGTTTACACATCCAATTTCGTGAGTAGGTACCTGGTACTCAAACATTTTTTAAGAAGTTTCACTTCTATCATGTGTTCGGTGTTACACACGCATTTTTTTAGTAGTTATGTATGTATTTGTTTGGTGAAATTATTTGTTTCCATTTTTGTTACATTTAAAATAATTGCGTTAAACCAAACATCACGCGGGCGAAGGTGCGGGCAAAAGCTAGTATATTATATATTACCTATTGGATGCTTGTAGGTCATATAACTCTATAGAGGTCACTCATCGGTGAAACGTGTTAAAAGCCTTGTTAATTTAACTTTATTGGATATGTTGGCTCTCTTCAGGTCATTTTCTTGCACGTTTTTTTTTTTTTTAGCAGCATTTATACAAATTCGCAGTTAATTATCTTCCCCATATGATTCCTTTAGCGTGCGATTTCTCTCGGCTTCGTCCAGAGCTCTTCAGGTGTCAGGTGGGTGGAATGCCTTGATCAACCGAGTCAATCCTAGTTCTGTAGGACCTTAGTCCACTGCACTAGCTTGACATAAGTTAGACTATAGAGGTTCGATTCTTCCTAAGCCCCTGCCCTAGCTCAAAACTCCGACAGCAGCAAACAATTGACAGCATCGAAAATGACTTCTGCTATTGAATTTTTACTTTTTTCGGTTTGTTTGACTTTTTGTAAATTTTTTGGTTTTGAGAAATACTTTGACGCCTAATTGGAAATTTTCCAATTTATTCTCATTAACAATCCCCAGAAGATAATTTACGTACGCCTTCTTAAGTAAAGCCATTCTAAGAAGCCTACCCAAGAACGGCTGAAAAAAGCCTTCTAGAAAGCCTTCTAGAAGGGCTTATCCATTTACAATTTACGCGATGCATAAATTTATATTATTTAGCATTACAAATGAATTTCAGTAAGTATTTTTAGTTGCAATAACACATATTTGATATAAACCATTCGCAAATACTTCAAAAATGTATGATTTTTATAAATTAAAAATGCCTTCTGAAGTATTTACGTCCTATAAAATCCCTTCTGGAAGGCCTTCCATGGGTAGTTGTTGTTGTTGTTGTAGCAGCATACAAGCTCCCCAAAGAGTTTTTGGGGAGTGTTGCTGGAGTGACAGTCCTTGGCCAAATATAAATCTGGGTCGTTCCGGTTACGTAGACCCGACTGTCGTGGGAACGCTTCCATTGGTAGTGAAAGAAGCCCTTCAATTTGTGCCACTCTATATAAAAAATAAAGGAGAAGGTAATGTAGAGTGGAAGGCCTCTTGACTCTCAAGAAGGCCTTTCGGAAGGGCTTTTAACTCCTGAAATTATAAACTGGGTCACAACAAATGAATAGACCTAGTATTATGAAATTTACCATATGCATATCGCTATACAAGTTGAAATCAACTTGGATAATTGTACGAGTTGTGTTGTTGCTTTACATACAAATAGGCATTTAAACGAGTGTGCTTTTGGAAGTCGTTTACAAATGAATAGACCTAGTATTATGAAATTTGCCATATGTACTGTTAACAATGAAAAACTAAAGTTGCATATAAAAGGTTATTTCCGTACATTCACCGCAATGCTGATTGGGATGGTAGAACTTTTACATGTTACCACAGTGTATTACCCAAACCGTCCAATTAGGCTATTTTCATGAATTGTGATAACTTTGAATTGCCAATATTTATCTAGACATTAAATTATATTTCTAAATGTTATTTACCTTGTGTTTGTAGAAGACTGTAGAACGTATTAAATATACCGCAAGTTACATCCTTTTCAAATAAGTATTCCCATTCATTAATAGTTTTTTGTATTAATAGAGTAGAACTGCATTTTTTTTCGGTTCTAATAAGTTGCACGAAAGTAGCAAATAGCCTACAAACGTTTATAGTGAATAAAGCAACCTAAAAATAAAAAGTGTCAATTGCACAATGATTAAATGTGTTTGAAACCAACCTTCAAGTCCGCGAACTTCTCGATTGAATTAAGTACCCTAGGTACCCATGAACTCAATCCAATAATAACAATATCCCAGTCTTTGCACTTTAAACACCACGGCATATTTCTTATAACTTCAGTTAGCAGTCGGATGTATTCAACCAATTCAACTACGGATCCGTGGTCGTCCATTGCGCTTTAGAATTGTTTTAATGATTATCACGCTACAATTATTTATGTACAATTTACTCATGCTGACAAAAGCGTTTCGTTATTACCAAGATTTGGTTATAGCAATCAAATAGCATAGTTGGATAAGGCGAAATAAATAATAAGTTGGTGAAAGTCTGTAATATACTGGAGCATTTTAGTCAAGGCAAACGTTTACTTGATTATAATTACTAAACCACTATCTTGGGTCGATAACATTGTTAGTTAAATCAAATCATTGTTGACAAACATTAAAAAATTCCATGGTTTGTATATTTGTCCAGTTAGTTTTGTCATCTTGGTAATATTTTATTTCCCTAAAAATTTGGACTTGACACAAAAAAAGTTTGGTCTACTGGTAGCCGTATTTATTCTGTTGTGTTTCTTTTCTTATTGTAATTGAAACTAATATTCAGCATAAACAAGTAATTAAAAAATTTAAGACAAGTCGACCCCCAAACCACCTAACGGCATGTGCCACCTAGCAGATAAATTCATCTTTCATGTTGCATTGCCATCGGGTTCTGAGCTAAGCTTAAAGTTTAAAGTCTCTGGCTCATCGGGAAATTTGATTACACAGGTGAAACTTCATTAAAGCTTGTAAAAGTACATACAAAAAGAGGCTGACTTCCAAAACATCAATTGCATTGAAGACGTACAAAGGTGACAGGTAATAAGATCAACGGAAATAAGGTCAATTGACTTTAGTTCCCACCCTGGTGCGAAATAAAGTCAATCTACATTATTACCTTTTCAAAAGCGAAATAAAATCCATTGACATTATTGCTCTTTCAAACATTAAATTTGCTTAGCTTCGCGGCGGCCCGCGTCCGCGCCCCACACCGCACTCGAGCCCCGCGCGACCGGTGCGCCACACCACGTCACGCTATGCCGTGATGACAGCTAATAAGTCCCAGATGATTTCTAAAATCTACAAATTAGTTTTTGTGCAAATTGCAGATAGAGGGTATTAATGAATTTGAGCCCTCGATATTTCACATTTTTATATTTGTAAGTTATCGGAAGATTTCTGCTGTGTTTTGGCAACAACTTGTCTGCAGTAAAAAAGCATATAATTTGTGTTTCAAAAGTGTGTGAAAACCAATCAATTAACTTACATGATCTCGGTTCCGATATTAAATAATCAATAACTGTTTACACCCGCATTTTGGCACATTGGTTGAATGTGTCATCTAAGAAATAGTGTCGTCGTTCTCCTTAGCTGCTTTTAAATGATGTCGTCACAAATTGCTGACATAAATACAGTGTAAGAAAATTCCTTTTTTATAACTGTTTCCTTATAGAAAGGTTGGTTTCTGTTCCACCTTAGACATTCCGAATTCGTTCAAAATATGCTAATTTAAAACACAGAATTCTTTCAGTGTTCCTCCGGGGTTTTTGGACATGGAATGTTTCTTCAATTTAATAGTGTTCGCTTTATTTTTGTAGGAAAGAAACATGTTTTGCAATTTCTGGATCATTTCTACACTTTTTCTTCATATATTTCTCGTATTCCAGCTGCGTTTTGTGTTTGGTTTTTCGCATCGTGTTTTTACTATATTCGTAATTTAAAATTTTTTAATAAAATCAATTGGAGGTAGATCATGTTTGTGTGTGGATTAATAGCGCCACACTGAGAATTCGGCAATAACCTTTTTCATCTATTAAAAAACAACACTTACGGGGCAATGTTTATTGTAAGAACAACATTTTTTTCTATGAATCGACATACTTTAAGCATTGTTGACGGTATTTCCATTTGAATGAGGAAATAGCGTCAATGACTTTATTTCCAAATTTGTGTTGATTTCATTTCGCTTTCGAAAAGATAATAATGTCAATTGACTTTATTTCGCACCAGGGTGGGAAATTAATTCAATTGACCTTATTTCCGTTGATTTTGTTACCTGTCACCATAATCATAACTGCATAACTGAGCCTTTCTTCTTGAAAATAATATATGGTGGCAATAATTACCTGAGAAGAAACGATAAAACAGAAAGAGCCGTGAGAATACGTACACTACTTTCTCATTGGATACATAATTACCATCAAATTAACACAACACCGGGAGTGCTCAATATTTCTCGCTCTCAAAACAAAACGCGTTTGCCTAAATTAAAATTTAGTAACTACAACCAGGCCATGTGTTGAGAGAAGGCTTATCTGTATTAAGAGAATGGAATTTGTAGAACCATGTGTCGAAACAATATTAATTTCTTATCACCAAATCCATAGAATCCTTCAACTAAAGAAGCACTTTGGCTGACCGTAGATGTACTAATCCAACAGCTATTTGTAATATTTAGGGCCAGTTTTTCAGTGCCAGTTTAAACTTAGATTAAGTAAACTGAGTTTAAATTGAACAGCTGGCTGACATTTGATTGGCTGATCTTAGTTTAAACCAGCCAGATCGGGCGTTTAAACTTAGTTTAAACCACGGCCGTGCACTGAAAACCTGGCCCTTAGTCTCAAAATTTGTGAAAAATCGTCCACTAAGTGTATTTAGTTGCAGAAATTAAACGCTTTTCTCAGTGTAAGTATTTACATATATAAAAGCTTACACATCACATATCGCTATTTTATCCGTATATAATTTTTCGCTCATTTCTCGAATAAATCCCAATATTTGCGTAGCTACATTTCTATCGCCGATTTCCATTACGTTGGATTTAAAAAAATTAGCTACGAAGCAGCACAGTGACGCAGATTTTATCCAAACGTTGGTTGACTTCGCACAGACAGAAATATTTTGTACGGATATACTTCTGTAACCCAGCTGAGGTAACTGAAACTAAAAATCATTAAGATGTTAATTCAAGTGTTTAAAAAAGTATGCGATTAAATTTGCATTTAAAATTCTCAATAGGTACTGGTTTTACAGTGCTAGGTTTGCGAAGCAACGTTTTTATAACTTCTGGGGCAATAAATCAACAAATTTACGTCAAAGAGTGTTTGCAGAAACGACTTCTGCCATTGGTACAGCTTCACACGGGCTCTGTGCTTTTTTGGCCAGATTTGGCAAGTTGTCATTATGGAAATTTGGCCAAGAATGTTTTTTTTTGTTGTAGAAAATGCCCGTTCATTAATGCGCAAATGAACAAATTAAAAAAAGGAAGTTGCAAGATCTGAAAGTTTTTTAGCTTACGGTGGTAGAAGTAGTAGAAATGTAATTTAGCAAAAAAAAAGGAGTATCTATTTCACAAATGTGGTAAGTCCCAGCACTGGCTGTTGAGCAAAACTTCGCTGCTTCGCACACAAGCGCGAGTGTGTGATAGCGTGAGTGCCCACCTCTGTTATAGACTCTAGTCAGAATTCCGGTAAGTATCCTAAAATAATGTCAGGAGCAGGTAATAATGTAGCTTTGTACTATTTAGCATGTCATTGGTCGGTACCAAGAGCAACTTAAATTTAAATCTATTAAATACATTCTAGCGTGTCTCAGTCGTTTGCCCACAAAAGCGGCTATAACTTTTTTTCTATTCGAAACAGCAAGAGTGGCACCTTTCTGAAATCTTTATTAAATGAGCAATTTTTTTATGTAATGTTAAGTTATAGCTCAGTACATTTTTTTTCACCAGAGATAGTCAAAGTTGGGGAAGAAAATATCAAAAAGTTAAAAATCCCAAAATAGTCATAATTTTATGATGGTTCCTTAATATATTTTAACTTCATTGCATTTGAGTATGGAGAAGCAACTATCTGGAAGTATTTTACATAAAAAGTTTACTAAGTATAGCCTGGTTTGTAGATGCAGTTAAAGAAAATACATGAAAAGGCACGATTTTTTTTTAAATTAAAAAAAAATGTAAATATTTCAAAAACGGTAACACTTTTACCTGAAAATTTTTTGTTTATCAGAGAGCAAAAAAAAAATGTACTGACCCTGCAAACCATTTTTTCAGAGTATTCTGAATCGTAAAGAAATTTTAACGAATTCGGAAAGATCTTATCCGATTTTTTTCCGAATTTTCTAAAATGAAATAAATTACGCACACTTCCATTCTTTTACGAAATTTCGGAAGAAAATCGGTGAAGAAATGAAAATAATGCAGCTATGTGAAGAATTTCTTGCAGACTATTTTCAGAATTTTCTTTATTTTTCGTACAGAAATTTCTTTACGAGTTCGTGTCAACCACTTCATATAATTTTCTTTGAAGGTTCGCAAAAAAAGCGTTACAGAAATCAGATACTCCTAAAGATTTCGTTAAGATTTCGGGAACTTTGGTTTGCAGGGGAGCTATAACTTTACATTACATAAAAAAATTGCTCATTTAATAAAGATTTTAGAAAGGTGCCACTCTTACTGTTTCGAATAGAAAAAAAAAGTTATAGCCGCTTTTGTGGGCAAAGGACTGATACACGCTAGAATGTATTTAATAGATTTAAATTTAAGTTGCTCTTGTTACCGACCAATGACATGCTAAATAGTACAAAGGTACATTATTACCTGCTCCTGACATTATTTTATGTTACTTTCCGGGATTCGGACTAGAGTCAGTAACAAGGGCTATATCTATCAAAATTATTTTTGTGAGGGATGGATTCACGTGAAATAAAACATACATGAGTTGTTTGCAGAAAAGCTTATTCATTTATTGATAAAATATGCTCAAATTGGCGACCTTCTAATCTAATACAAGCTCGGAATCTTTTAAGAAAAGACGCTTTTAGTGATCCTAAACTCAACTGGGCTATCTCAGCAGTAGCTCCATTTATTTGTTCCCGCAAATGCTCTTCGTTTTGAATTGTTTTTGAATAAATTGTGTCCTTAAGACAGCCCCAGTAGAAAAAATCTAATGGATTTAGGTCTGGCGATCGAGCGGGCCACGAGATTGGCCCGTATCGTCCAATCCATCGGCGAGGATAAGTTTAGTCTAAATGAGCTCTTACTTCACACCCGTAGTGAGCAGGACATCCGTCATTTTGCTGCCATAGTCTTCGCCGCAGATTTATGGGTACACCTTCTAAAAGAGTTGGAAGCCGTTCCTGAAGGAACTTTAAATAACTGTGGGAGTTGAGCGTTGGCGGCAGTTCCACAGGTCCCAATATCTGACAATTAAAAATACCACACCATAAATTTATTTTGTACTGGTACTGCGAACGATCTTATCTCATTTCGTGAGGATTGTCTTTCTGCTAACTTTGAAGGTTATGTAAATTAAAATAACCATCACGTTTGTATGATGATTCATCGCTCCAAAATATTTTATTAAAAAAGTTGGGGTCTGAATCATGCATTCGCAACATTTCACTGTATCATGCATTCGCAACATTTCACTGCAAAATCTAACCCTCGACAGGTAATCTCTCTCTCGTAAAGCCTCTCTCTCTCTTTCCATCATTCTCCCTGAAGTCGATGGACCTAGTTCCACTTCCTCTAACACAAATTTAACATCTACCGTTGCAGGACGTCCTGTCTCGCCGCCACGCCTTCCAGGTATGCGACCTTAAAAACGTTAAAAATGATAGTTAAAAGAAGAATGGCTTCAAACAAGAAAGGTGTAAAAATCACTTACCTTCATATATTTCTCTATGGGTCCGGGCGAATACTTCACGGCCCGGATGCCGACGATTGGGGTATCGCTCTGCATAAAGTCTTTGAGCAGCTCTGGCATTACAGCAAGCTTCACCGTAAATTAGGTGAATATCCGCATATTCATGCGACGTATACTGCGTGTTCTCTGTCATAGTATTAATAACACAATGTTCGAAGGGTCCAATTCCACAAAATCCACTTTCATTATTTCCGTTAAGTAATACAAAATAATGTCAGGAGCAAGCAATAATGTACCTTTGTACTATTTAGCATGTCATTGGTCGGTAACAAGACCAACTTAAATTTAAATCTATTAAATACATTCTAGCGTGTCTCAGTCCTTTACCCACAAAAGCGGCTATAACTTTTTTTTTTCTATTCGAAACAGGAAGAGTGGCACCTTTCTAAAATCTTTATTAAATGAGCAATTTTTTTATGTAATGTAAAGTTATAGCTCAGTACATTTTTTTTCACCAGAGTTAGTCAAAGTTGGGGAAGAAAATATCAAAAAGTTAAAAATCGCAATACAGTCCTAATTTTATAATGGTTCCTTAATATATTTTAACTACATTGCATTTGAGTATGGAGAAGCAACTATCTGAAAGTATTTTACATAAAAAATTTACTAAGTATAGCCTTTTTTGTAGATGCAGTTAAAGAAAGTACATGAAAAGGCACGATTCTTCTTTAATTCAAAAAAATTTAAATATTTCAAAAACGGTGACACTTTTACCTGAAAATTTTTTGTTTATCAGAGAGCTCACCACCCCACCTGTCTTCTCCTCAAGTTTGGCAGGTTACATCTGGGACACCCTGTATATAAAAATGTTGTGTTCGTATGTCACGGTCGTCAAAACTCGAGAACGGCTGAACCGATTTGAATATTTTTTTGTATTGTTCGGTATAATAACAGAACCAATGATATCGCAAAAAATTGGAGGGTTGCTACCTATTTGAAAACTTTTAAACCCAATTATATTGATAAAATAAATAAATTATTACAATATGGGTATCAAAATAAAGAGGTTTAAGAAAGATAACTGCTGTAAATATTTTTTGAGGAGGGTTGCCACCTATTTTAAAATTTTA